AACATACAGCCGATGCTGAGAAGTGATGCGATCCATGTGGCTTCTTCTATTGTTATTTGGCGCGATAGAGGTGTGTCATCTGACATCAATAGATAGATGTTCGGGCTACTCCAACCTTCTGCTACACCAAAGACTATTGTTGCTATATTCGCTATTTACAATGAAAATGTTCATTACTATTTAGTTGAAATTTTCTGTATTTTTATTACTTTTACCTACTACTGCGGCCATACACTGGTATATCACACTTTGTGATGCGTCCATATCTTTTCCATTTACTTCCATGATCTAATGAAAGTGCGTAAAATTTCCAACGATTCGTCAAATCGTTCATTCAACCAACAAATGTGCAGAGAAAATTTAAATAAATACCAACGCATAGGTTTATCTTCGCATTTACTGATATGATCCGTTTATGACTGTTGCTATTATTGAAAAGAAACAGATATTTGGGAATTTGAACAAAAATTTATCAATTAATCTCTGATTTGAATCTAATCAAAACAACAATTTTCATTGACATATATCAATCAAAGTCCATCGCCTGGTTTTATTTCAATGGGATTCAAGTATGAATTCGAGTAGAGTAAATTTATACAGAATTTTATTAAATATTTTTGACAATGAATTTGTCTATTTGTGCATAATTAAGTTAATCGTTTTATAATTCAAAACGAAATTTAGAAGAACAATGTCTCAAAACTTCCTTTTTAAATTATTTCATTGAAAATTCAATAAGTTTATTAACTTCATGAAGTTAGCTTTAGTTTAGCTTAGTTGCAGTTAACCCTGGACATTTGTTATCACATTGATTATGAAAAACGTATTGTATCTAAGAAGGTGTAACGTATAAAGCTAAATTAACACAAATTAAATTGTGATCAAATGGGTTTTATTTTTTAAAATAAATTTTATCACACACTTGGACTTCCGCACCGTTAAGATGAAGGGGAAAAAATACTAAATCTTACATTTAATTCGCAATATTGAAAAATAACTCCGCTCACCAATTTCCAAAATGATTTGCTCAATAATCAATCACAAGAAACTTGATAAGATCCTATTGAGACCGACATGAAACGAAATTCTGATCAGAAATGCACATACATATATTGTATGAATGTGAGACAGTGATTTCTCAATATTGTCGTTACCTAAAATAAATTACAGCTGTTGACCACATGTTCTGTGAACGACTTGCTTCCAGGGATTCTATTTACTCTTTCAGTAATAAGTCTGTGTGATAGACGTGTAATAAATCAGCGCAAAGATTCGAACATTTAAAATTTCACACAATCAAAAGCCTCACGTATATATGATTTGATTGGGATAAGAGTTTCCTTCAGGACGAACAAAAGTCAACCAAGCTGGATTTGGAACCATTCTTTGCAGAGATTTTACAAAAATATAAACATAACCAGGTTCTGCAGAACAAATACTAAAATCAAAATGAAACATAAATATTCTCGTAGCAGATTTAAATCGAAATGTGATTTGCTTTGTTGCTCTTCGAAATAAATTTTACACATGATATAGTTTTTTGAGAGTCATTTTTAGTCATTTTTTTCAGTACTATTTTCAAAATGTGAATTAAATTATCAAGTAGATAATATCTAGCATTACAACTACTAAATCAGTAGAGACGTTGAAATATTTTTTAAAAATAAAAAATTAATTGCATAGAATCCTTTCCGACATAACTGTCAGCGCTGATGCAACACACTCGAAAATGAATATTCACGAAACTATTTTCTAATCAAATAAACTAACATTTACAATAAGCTTATACTTAATGGCCTTCCTTATTATGAAGCATATTGATAATTTCTTTGTGACTTTTACCCTTGGTTTCCGGCACGAAATAAATGATAAACAGTTGGCAAGCTAAACATACCGCTGCAAAGATGAACATGCTCATGTCAAATCCCAATGATTTGGTGAGCATTGGCAAATATTTTATCAGCAGAAATGAGGAAAACCACATAAGTGTCAGAAAGGAAGTGACGCCAAAATCTTTCATTTTTTCAGGCATTATTTCCGAGAATAAAGTCAGCGGAAGGCTGACAATGCCTAATGCTGCAACAAAAATGGTGAATGAGAAGCTTATGACCGGCACCCAATTGAAATGTTCTACTGGATATCCTTGTGATTTAAGTATAATGTACGTTCCCAATACGATTAAACCGAGCGCTGTTCCAATATTTGACACAGCATATAACGACTGCGGAAAAGAAAAGACTTTATTGATTCAAATTAAAATTGCATAAGTTGAGTAAAATTCATTACCTTTCGTCCAGCTAGGTCAACTAGTTTCGTCGCAATGGCTGTGCCAAACAGTTGAATCGCTCCAACCACAATAGTCGATATGTTTGGATGCAAATTGGAACCGGCTTCTTCAAATATACTTGCAGTGTAGTTCAACATAGCCGAAACTCCACTAAAATTGGTTAATATAACTAAAACGAAAGCAATTGTCAAGGCTTTTCGCACTGACTTAGTTGTCAGCTCGGACCATTTGAAGGATTTGTCAGTACTTTTTTCTACTTGTTCATGGTTAATCATGATTCTCAATCGATTTATTTCTATTTCGACTAATTTGTTTTCCTTTTCTCCATCGCTCAAATTTTGATAAAATCTTATGGACTTTTCGGCCTGCTGCAAAAGTTATATGGGACAAAAAAGTTTTATGAATTTAAAAAAACTAAAATTCCATGGCATTTGCCCTTGCTCGAATGAACAGTTTGAATACATACACATATTTTGTTTTGTTTGACAAGAAATACTGGCGTTTCGGGGAAGAAGAACAACAGAACAGCAAATAGGGCCATTAGTGAAATGACAAACTGAGGCACTATGTAAAAGTTATAAAAATGTCCAAGCGTAAATCCAAGTAACATGCCAAAATTTTCGCTTAGTATCAATGATGAAACCAAAGTGCCCCGGATTCTGGAAAAAAATATATAAATTTTCTTCCAATGACTTGTTCAGCCTCTCAAGTTATTTTGACGTACCGATCAAATGCAAAGTCAGAGAGATACAATGGAACGATAGTATAGGCACCTCCACCGAAAAAGCCATTCAACAATCTCGAGGCATACAAATAATAAACGTTAGGTGCAAACAAAATGAGTATCCAACTAATCTGAAAATCGAAAATCAATTGATCAATTGGTTCGAGTCGTCCAAACGATTAATTTTAAATTTACTCACAATAATCGGAATGGAAATGAGAATTAACGGCATTTTTCGGCCAAATTTATTTGTTATGAACCCAAA